TGAATGAATCCTGTGGAAGTGAACATTAAATCAAATCAACTTAACGGGTCCTGGGTAATTCCCAGCCTCCACACACTCTGCTGTCTCTGTCTCTTTCTACTTTTTAACAGCCATACATACTAAAAATCTCATGGGGGCTCCCAGGCTCCCATCTGTTCTCTCAAAGTTTGGACTCTCTATGTCTCCCAGGGAGCAAACATTGGGAATCCTCACTTACCCAATAAAAACTCCATGCTGAACGCCAGGAGGCTGCTGGTATTTTACGGGTCAGAGATGAATTACCATCAAGTTTTCTAACTCATTCTGTTGGCTCCCTACATATCCCCATGAATCACCACCCATCATGAAACTTAAGGCTTTTGGCACCAGAATGGCTTGGCAGTTTGAGGAGGTGGAAGGGGGGAGGGGTTCTGTTTGTTAAGACATCACTAGGAAGACATAGGTGAAGCTGACATCAAAACTGGCTGCTCAACTGCTGGAGAAAATAACCAGGCTGTTTTCATTCCTAGATTGTAAAGCCACGTAGCCAGCTACCATGTGTTCTAGGGACCTCTCTTGAGTCTCCATAAATCGAGGGCTGCAGATGGGACCTGGCAGTCTTGGGTCCTGGGGAGGGCTGATCAGAAGAAGTTGTGCAAACTCGACAACAAAGAACACCAGGTGCCTAGCCTGGTTGAGCTTCCAAGGCCATCTTAGCCATCTACCCCACTGCCACCTCACGCTCTTCGGAACCCACACTCCCTCCGTCCCTCTGCACTGGGGGTGAACTTTATTTATCCCCTGCCTGTGCTGATTGGAAGGATTAACTCGCTGGCATCCCAGGGAGGAGGAGAAACTGACCTTTGAAAGTTTCTGTTATGTAACTTTTGTTCTGTGTCCCTTGTCAGCAGGTATGGGTTTGCATTGCCTTCAAAAGGGACTTGGGTGTCATCCTGCCCACCACTTCCCACAGAACCCCACGGGCATGTGGGACCTGACGGAGTTATTTTCACTTTCCCCAAAGAACAGCTAACGTCGACCTTTTTAAGGTTACCCTTAGCTTAGTTCTGACTCTCTTTGGGGACACATATATTTGCCATCATTCAGGTTAAAAGAAACCTGATGTCCCTTTTATTTTTATAAAGTACAATTCAGAAGTCTATCAATAGCTGAATCACTCCATATGGTCTCCACGTCAAACCTTACGTGCTTTTTTTAGTACAGTGGTATTATTTAAAACTTTGGGAAGAAGGACACTCTGGGGTTAGCAGACGGCTGCAGCACCAGAGGACAAAAGCTAGTGTGAGGTGGCTTCTCGCAGTGTGCTGAGCACCACACCAGGTTGTGCCATTTTGATACCTCCGTAAGCTGAAGACTCATCAGCCCTCTGAGCCCAGCTTCTGCGTCCAGCACACAAGGTGGACAATGCCTGCTCTGTAAAGGGGAAAGGTGTTTAAGGTCTGCCTGCTACTTCCTCTCACTCTATGTGAAAATGACTTCAACAGGAAGCCTAGACCCCAGGCGACATGCTACCTACCTACATGATGCAGGGTTGACTGGCTTCACAAAGATGCTGGCAGAAACACCAAGCCACCAAGCCACCATGCCACCAAGCCACGGAGCCTCACCTCTTTGAAGCTTCCAGGGAGTTCAGGGCTCTAATTAAGTACTTTCCATTTTCAAAACAAATGCAAACAGTAATTACAATCTTCCCTCCTTACCTTCCAGGAATAGCCTGGGAGCGAGGCAAAATCCCCAAGTCTCTTGACTTTGAAGCTCTGCAGCTCGGACTTCATGTTCTCCCTACCCCACTGACCCAAATTACATAACCCTTCTTGTGTCTCCTGCCACATGAGTACCAGAGAGTCACGGTTCATTCCAGTGTTCTCAGATGTGTTCCAGGGAACCTGGCATGCATCTTTCAGGATGGTAGTTCCATCATCATGCACTCAGGGCACTAAGGCTTCACTTAAGCTAACGAAATGCATCTTTTAAAGTGACTAGGTCTTCATTGTTTGTATGGATGTCTAATTGAACGTGTTATGTAACTCGAGTGCACACAGCATTCTGGATCTATTAATAACCGGCTGTAGCCAAACTCTAAGGATTCTTCGAGTTTAGAGTTGAAGGACATCATCTGTTACTAACCATGCAAACTTATATACAAACATACAGCCCCATCATACAGAGCTGAGCCCGGACCTAAAGAGTGGGAATAAACTGCCCCATGCTACAAAGCCAAGTTAATAGGAAGATAAATGCTGGTTTCTTGGCCTCTTCCTTTTCTTGTACACCATGATGTGATCTGCCCACACAAGCATCTTCCGTGGCAATCAGAGTAGAGTGGAACACCTCAGAGATCTTACAGTCCTGAGCACTCCTCACCAGCAAAGAAACCAATGGCCTCACTCGCAATTGGATAGGGTAAGCCCACAAAGGAATCACCTTCATGTATTCATTTCTAGACCATAATATCCCCCTGCCCTCCCACAGAAATCCAGGCACCTCAGACACATTTTAACCAGAGTCCAGCCTAGGAACTGAGTGTGTGGCTTTTGAGAAGTTCTAGAAAGGAAGTAGGTTTAGCTGAGAAAGGAAGACTATTCTGCATTGGCCATTTTCATGGCGTTGTGCATGTGTGCATAGGGAAAAGCACAAAAGCTGTGAGAAAAATTGATGAGTTGAAAATTAAATATCAGAACGGGGATCATTGGTATGTTGTGTAATCCAGTTTCGGGTGCTAGCGGTATGATATACGATCCAAAAATCGTTATTTCATAATTATGTTGTCATCTCCAGGAGTAACTTAATGAAGATCGTTTCTCTGCATTCATTTTTATTCAGACTGTACCCGTTAATCATGAGGACCCAAAACACACAATGCTGGGAGATTAATACCACCGCCAAGAAGCATTGGTTTCCCTTCACAGACCCCATGAGCATGTCAAAAATAAAGAAAGCTTCTCCCTTGTTTTGTGACTTTCAAATAGCCACCAAACCCTGCGAGGTGCTGAGTTTCTCGGAAAGGGTGGCACGTGCCCATTTGCTTTGGGATTCAGAGCTGCTTTAAAAGGTTCATTAATCTACATCTTTAAAAGTCTGATGACAACCCATTAATGGCCCATAGGTCAACTTGATGCATTTAGCTCTAATAACAGCCCCAATTGGCCACCCTTATAGTCACAGCCTCTCTGAATGCCCTCAGTCGACTCCACCTGTCACTAACACAAGCAGCAGAGGGTTGAGGTGTGAGACAAACCATTGCCGAGTGTAGCTGCATCGATGGCTCTGGCTGGGATTCACTTAGAAACGTAACTGACTCTTTTCAGAGGGCAGCAAGGCTTGTGGGCCATGCTGCTTCCCAGCCCACTGTGTGTCAAGGTGATGCATGGAAGTCTAGCAATTCTTAGGGACCAATGTCCTGGCTCCAATTGAGATGACATAACCCAATTGAGATTGCATTACCTGAGTCTGGCATCTGGGGACCTTTTGTAGCCACCATGTTTTCACCCAATAAATAATCCACTGAGGCAGGGAGGGGTATCACCTCCTTTGGTTGAACCTGGCTCTCACTGATCTTTCAGCGCTGAGTCCTCTTCTTGGAGATCAATAATGTATTCAGTCTATATATGTCTATGACTGATGGGACCCCAGTACCCTAGCTCAAGCATGCAAGCCATTAGTTCTCATACTCACAGAGTCCTGGAGCTGGGAAAGATCTGACATATCACCCAACTCAACTCCAATACTTCTACTAACATAGACATTGAAGTCCCTGTGGCAAAAGGTCTTCCCTTGCTCAGCACCATCACTTTCCGGATGGTGTAGACACTCAGCCCCTTAAACAAATGCTCAGACAAGGACCGAACAATTTCTCATGGCCTCCTTGATTAGGATTACCTACACTTTGGCAAAGAGTCACCGGCTGCCCATCAGGGAAGTGGAGCAAGGAGGGAGCCTCACATATCAAAGTCCATCCCTCTCCCTCTCTGCTAAGAAGTGTGAAGTTTTGCTGACACACAGAGAGATGGCGACTGAGTCAGGACCCAGGTGGCCCTCACCTTATGGCCATTTGGAATCAGCCCCCAGCCTCTGTGAAGTGACTATCTCTAATATTTGCACAAGCCAGCCCAGGTGGTGCTAATGGGTCTCACCGGGGGAAAAGGCTGATGGTGCCATGTGAGGCTGAACTTGGTGGAGGCACACGACACAGAAGGGGACACCTGGGAGTCACTGAAACCCTTCACCACACTTCAAGAGCCCTGGAAAACAGAGCCTGGAAAGAAAGCACAAGGGAAACGCATCGGCACCCCAACCCTCCCAAGTAAACTAGGATGAGGCTTCACAGTTAGAGCACACATTAGGATTGGCAGCGTTAGATGGAGGAGTGAATGAAAAATACATTCTACTAGCAATTTATTCCCTCTCCGCCGTCACTGGCAGGAGTATTTACACACACACACACACACACACACACACACACACACACACACACACACGCACGCACGCAGTGGCTCTTGAGATGGAAGCAGCTAGCGAGGAGACCAGGCAGGCGTGTTTGTGACCAAAGGACCAGTTTGATGGGGTGATGAGCACCTTGATTACCACCTCGTGACCTTGATTAACACCTTCAGTCTCTCTGGGCCTCAGTTTCCTCGTCTGAAATGCGGAGAAGGGGAATCCTACTTCCTTGGAGCGGTTTGGAGACACACCACCCAGAAATACGTGGGCACCCACCGAACATCATGGTCCCCCAGGTGACTACGTCCGAATGCAGGTGGCACACCTTAGATGCACATCTAGACCAAACAGGTCTGTCGCCCGCCTGCGTGTCAAGCCCACTGCTGTCTCCCAGATGGCCCAGGAAAACACTGCTTCTTGAAGGCACCTAGGCAGTTCAGAAGCCAGGTAGGGTTTGGGGACAGATTCCAGGCACTGGGTAGCGGTTAGAGAGGGGGATCGGAGGTACCCTCCTAGCCCTGTGAAGGGTCTTTGTTCCCGAGGCGAAGGGCCTGGCTTACCGAGAAGAGCATCCGGAGGCAGGTGGGGGGCGCGCAGGGCACGCAGTAGAGCCACAGCCCGGCCCGGGCCCGGGGCGCGGGAGCTGGAGGAAGGCGAGGAGGAGAGAGAGGTGGGTTCCTGCCTCATTCTCCCAGGCAGCGCAGACCCACTGGCCGCCTCCGGCTAAGGCTGGCGCCCGGGCACCAGAGACCGATCATGCCGCTCATGTCCCCGTCAACGGCTGGCGAGGTGTGCGCGCGGTCGGGTTGTCTGCAGGCGATACCCAGGGGCTCTTCATGCCCCGCGCCTGGGCTCGGCGGGAAGATCTCGGAGGGCAGCAGCACCCGGAAAAAGGAGAGAGAGAGAGAGAGAAAGCGTGAGAGCGCACCGAGCTGCGCCCCGCGGGGCCGGGGGCGGGCAGCACCCGGCGCCCCACCCACCGCGCTCGGCGCCCCGTGCCGCCGCGCACCCGCCGGGCAGCCGAGCCCCAGAAACTTTAGCACATGGCCGGTCCGTCGGCCGCTGTGGCCCGAGCCGCCCCGCTGGTGGCGTAGTCCCCGCCCCGGCCCCAGATCGCAGCTTACCGGCGGCCACCGCAACCGCTGCGGAGGGTCGCCCACCTTGGCCGTGAGGACAGTGGTGCGCACCAGAGGGGGAGGAGGGAGAGGAGGGGGCGGCGACGTCGGGGTCCCCGCAGGGGAGGGGAGCGATCGGCGCCCTTAAGGCATCCAGGGAGGGGAGCGCGAGCCAGCCGAGGGGGTCTGCAGACCCCGACGGGGGAGAGTCAGTGTGTCCCCCGCCCCGCGGCGCAGATGCTGACGACTCGCGCGGGCTTCCCTGGCCCGGGTCTGCGGAGCCAGCCCTGTTACCTAGCGACTCGCTCCGGGAAGCCCACGCTGACGCGCTAGGAACTGGGCTGCGGCAGAGGGGAGGGGAGGGATAAGGAGGGGAGCGAAGGGGGAGAGGAGGGGAGCTCCAGTGTGTAGGGGGGGAGAGCGTGGGGGGAGAGGGGCGGAGGAAGGTGGCGTTGCCGGCCAGAGCTCCTCCCTCTACCTCCACGTCGCTGCTGAGGAGTGGGCCAGGGAAGACATAGCCTCACCCTGGTCGGGATGATCAGGGACCTGCTCCTGGATGAGGGTGGGTGGAGGGAAAAATGGGAATGCAGGTTCCCCAATGCTGGGCTTACAGCAGCAGGTGGCGGCGACGTGGCCCATGGAGGCCTGACGCCCATAGGAATGCAGAGATGAGCCAGCGAATGTGGCTGTGGGCGTGTGGGTGTGTGTGAGACGCCCCCACCCACGTGGAGTACTGGAGACCCATGGACTTGGGTGAGAGAGGCGCCTCCCCTTTCCTGGCCTCCTGCCCTCCTTTCTGGACATTTTGCTCTTGAGCTGTCTGCATGATGGAGGCTCTGGTCGCTATCTCACTGAGCTCCTCCTACCTCTTGGAGAACCAGAGGACTGTCAGCTAGGTTAGTGGCAGCTCCACTCCCCACTTCCCCGGCCACCCCACGACTCCTGACCAACACACCTGGTGTCCAGTTGCAGGAGTTCAAACACCTGCCTCCAGCTGCCTTTCTCTTTATAGATTCGCAGCCTCCCAGGCCAGACTGGGCCTCAGGCCCAGACGCGTCCAATTCAAAGTAACTTAACACCCTCACTCAAATGGAGTCTTTGTCCCTGAAGGTCAGAGCTGAGAACTGTTCCCTGGAGTGTATGAATGCAAACGCGTGTTATCTGTAAGGTGTACAGGACGTCTCCTGGTTCTCCAGAACCTCTCTGAAATACACCTCCAAGGCTCAAAAAATCAAAGCAAGCGGGGACCACAGCCTCCGAGGATCATGAGGCAAACAGCTAAATGCAGTGGGTACCTGTGAGGTAGAACCCAGATCCTTCGGTTCAGCCAGATGCAAGGACTCTGCCTCTAAAGGACTCTCACACCTGAAGAGATGCTGTCCCTTCCCTTCCCTAAGAGCCCGGGAACAGCACACCTGCCACCTCCCCGGAAGACCAGTCCTGCTTAAGACGGCTGCTCTCTTCTTGACTGGTGAATATGAGAACGTAGAGGCAGAAGCCAGACCTTACAGAGAAGCACACCTGTCCAGGATCAACATCCTACATCCAAACCCCCCTCCCTCCTTGAGAGGGGTGGAGGAGTGGCCTCTGGGGCTTTTGTTGTTAGCAGTAGTCTGGAAACAGGGCTTTTTCTCCATTCATTTATTCTTCTATATTGTTGAACCCCCTAGTAGCCCTTCCAAACAGAAACCAGGGCCCCCCAGACAGCACTTTTTCTACAGAAAACTGCTGTCATTTCCTAGGCCCTGGGCGACAGTTATGTTCTGACATTTCCCAGCGAAATTGACAGCAACACCTCTGAGTTTGCCCCCAGTTTTTATGGGTGATAGAAGCGTCACAATCCACTTTGTTCAGCGCTAACTTCCCACTTGCAGGGATAATTTGACATATCATTTGGTCAGGGAGTCCAGTGCTTATAATACACAAAACCCTCAGAGTATCTATGCCGTGCCGAGCCATTTTCAGGAGGGTGGGGGAGTGGAGGGATGGGGTGTCTGTGTGTGAGGAGGAGTGATTTGTCAGTGTGTCTCAGTCTCAGTCATGGTTTGTAGCTAAAAAGAAAAAGAGAAAGAAGGGAAGGAAGGAAGGAGGGAAGGAAGGAAGGAAGGAGGGAGGGAGGGAGGGAGGGAAGGAAGGAAGGAAGGAAGGAAGGAAGGAAGGAAGGAAGGAGGAAAAGAAAGACTCAACTAGCAATAAAGGGTATGTGTTGCATGCACATTTGCATGGAGGCATATGTGCACATGTGTGCAGAGGCCGGAGGTTGATGGGTTGATGTCAGGTGTCTTTCCTCTGATGGACTGTGCAGTTTGGTTTCTTTGTTTGTTTGTTTTTGGGCCAGGTTCTCTCATTTAACCTGAACTTAATCGATGTGGCTAGAAGGACTGGCCGATGAACTTCAGAAATGCGCCTGGTTTGTCCCACCCACCCTACCATGGTGACATGCACCACTGGGTCTTTTTTTATTTAAACACAGTTTACATGTTCCTATGACAAGCACCTTACCAACTGAGCTCTCTCCTCAGCTCCTGAACTCAGTGCATCGATGAGATCTGTGCGTCCCGATTCATGCAGCAGAGTTCACAATAGCTAGCTTACAGGCTCGGTCTAAATGCTTCACAACAGATGAATAAACGGTGGTACATACACACAGCAAAATACTATTCGGTCACAAAAAGAATGAAGTCCTGTCATCCAGGGCATCCTCGATGAGTCTAGAGGACATTATGTTAACTAAAACAAGCCAGACACAGTGTAGTAATCAGGGCTCTCCTTAGGAGCAGAACTCATAGAATATGTGTATATTTAAGGGGATTTATCAGGTGGGCTATGTGATATGGTCGGGGTAGTCAGACAAAAACTGTCTTACATCACAGAGACTAAGACCCTGGTAGTTGCTCAGTCCGAGGCTAAATATCTCAGCAGTTTCAAGCTGGTGCTGAAGACCACAAGGATTTCTGGAGGCCTGGCATTTAGTCCACAATGGAAATCCAAAGCTGGGCCCTAGAAACAGTGAAAGATGCAGCAGAGCCAGAAACAAAGTAGATGAACTTGCCAAGAAGTGTGAAGGCAAACAGGCAACAAAACAAAACAAGCAAACAAACAAAAAATATTAGAAAGGGCCGATAACCTTCAGAGTTGCCCCCCCCTTCAAATAATATAATATAAAAAAAGAAATCCTCACCAGTGGCCTACCTTTTAGTTGATTCCAGATTCAATCAACCATCAACTTATGTGGCAAAGCTAGCAACTGAGACTTATTAACATCCAGCCCCAGATGAAGAAGCCGATACCAGATGAGCTTTCTTAGTAGGTAGTGAGTTCCCTGTCACCTGTGATACTCAGTCAAAAAACATAAAACTGTGAGAAGGTCCCACGGCCTTGGAGACCTTGAGAGTTCATCCTAAACATAGGTATCCAAGTTTTCTCACCGTCTGCTCATCATGGCAGCCATAACTATAAACGATTCCACAGAGCATCCCCAGAAGGACCTGTTGCTTCCAAAACCAGTATGAGCCTACCAGTAAATGTTCTGGCTTTCTCTTCCTGCTTCCTGGGCCATTATTATACCCAGGTGACTCATGGGACATTCCCATGTGTTGGCAAGGGGTTAGTTCCTGAGAAGTCAGTTCATTGGGTTTCTGTTGGGATTCAGCAAACTCTGTCAGAATCTGCACTGGACAGAGGCCCTGCCCTTGGAGGCCTGGTGCCTGGACGCTGGACAGTGTGAGCAGACAGAGATGATGACTTGAAAGGGTCAAAGGGAAATGAGATACACAGCCAGGCACATCGATCCAAGGACTCCCAATGCTATTAACAGGAACTTTTTTCCTTTCTAAATGGGATCCAATGATCTCTCTGAGGAGGACCCAAAGTCCATGATCATTTTGATCCCTTTTAAGCTAGATTGAATACCAAAAAAAAAAAAAAAAAGTTAACTCTCTCTGTCTCAGCCCAGAAAACACTGGTGTGAAGACAAAAGCAAAATGCCTCATGTCATAATTTATGGCGGGTACAGAGACTTCTCAAGCAGCAAAGGCAAATGTTCCTTAATGAACAACACTGGCAATGGCTGAACTGATTAGCTTGTGCTGTCTCTGAGCACAGACCCGCTTTCCAGTCACTAAGTCGCTCTGTCTCACCCACGCCACAGCAAACTCTAGGTACCAATTTTTCTACAGCCCTCGTTGCTTTCAGAATGGTTTTCTTTCCCTCATCAAAATAAAACGGCAGGGAAAGGGGCTTCGTTTACTTTTCAGTTCGCATTATTCTTGCCATGGCTAATTCCAAGTGCAGGCAAGGTGTTTGGTCCCTCAGATTCCCCCCAGAGATGAGGCTTTTCTCCTGAAGCCTATTCAGACTCTAATGCATCCATTCTCTGGCAGTTAATCATACTCAACAGCTAGTTAAACCGAAGGCATGGTGGCTTGTTCTCTAGCTGGGATAAATCTTAATGCTACACAGTGCATCCTTGGAACTTTATAAGACCACGAAGAATACCAGGAGCTCCCACCCAGCAAGACTCAAAACAAGGGTCATGCAAAGCATCTCTAAACGGCTTCACAGAGATCCCCTAAGCCAGACACCACAATGTCTTCTGTCCCCATTTGTCTGTGACAGCAATTATCTTATCTCACCTCTAGCTAGAGGAATGACACCTCTCGCTTCTCCCTCCCCTCTGGCTTCCTCACAGGACACCTTCCCTTTCTGCCTGATTCATGCTCACATCTCCCAGGACCAGAGCATGGACAATGTTACATTCTTAAAGGAGAATTGTTTCTTATTTCTCTTCTGTGTGTGTG